AAACTGTGTCTGGAATGACTTAAATTGTCCAGGATTACTCAGAATTGTCCAAAATGATTTAAAATTCAGCCAACATGACTCAGGAGTGTGATGTTTTTCAGGGCAATAGTTAATTTTTTAAACAGTTCTCGACAATTCTGATCATTTAAAGAACTGATGAAGCTCAGAATCCAGAGTCCAACCCACTGGGAGTCCCTGAAGGCTCTGAGGATCTGCCTGTCCAGGTGGTTGCTGCTGTAGATCAGGTCCGGGTTGCCGTGAAGCAGCCGGTTGGACGATGGAGACGATGACGCTGGACTCTGGCTGCAGTGCAGGACTCCCTCCAGCAGGGGGAGCTCCACCAGGCTGAGCAGGCGGAGCAGCGTCTGCTCCTGCCACACCTCGTCCACCACTGAAGAAGAAGAAGAAGAAGAAGAAGACCAGGGCGGAGTTCTACCTTCAGCCCGTGAATGTTGTTAAATCTGATCCGGTGTCAGTTTCTACCAGAACTCAGTTCTTCATCAAAAGTTGGTCAAATTACATGAAAGTCGTCTAAAATTACACAGAAATGTCCCGATTATGTAAATTCAGCCACAAATGTTCAAAAAGACACAAGAACTGTCTAGAATTACTAAAAAATATTCATAATGACTCAAATAATTGTTCAAAATCACATGAAAGTCGTCCTAAATTACTTATTTATTTATTTATTTATTTATTTTAATCTTCAGACTGAGACACCTGGATGGATGTAGAACTGATCTGGTGTCAGGTTCTAGCAGAACCCAGATGTGTTCTTCCTCCTAAATGTCATGTGTCTATCTGCTGTACTGATGAAGTTCTGAGGCTCAGAAATGATGGAAACAGTCCATTAAAGTGATCAATCTGGACCCTCCTCTGTGGACTTGAAGGACCTGGACCTCTGGAACATTCACAGTCTGAAGGTAGAACTCTGGTCAGTAGATACAGAACCAGTGGGTTCTGATCCGTTCTACATCCATCCAGGTGCCACAATCCAAAGCTAATCGAAATCTGAGTAATTCAGGATATTTTCTGTATAATTCAGAACCGTTTTGGAGTCCTTTCTGGCTGGTTTAATTTAATTTTGGACAGATCCAGAGAACTTTGGGGCGGTTTTTGTTCCTGTTTGACACCTTTCCAGACATTTTGAGCGACTTCTGATGAACGCCACCACATCTGACGAGGATCTGCGGTACTTCCTCTCCGACTCGTCTCTTACGTGACTGTGGCAGCAGCGAGTCGGTCAGAGCTCTGCTGGGACTCAGATTCTCCACCAGTGGCTCCAGGACCAGACTGGAAGCGGCTCCGGTGTCCAGGTTGGTGCTGGTCGGCTCCTCCTGCCCGTCTGGAGCAGAACCGCAGAACAGCTTCTGGAGGCCGTTCACCAGAACCCCTTTCTCCAGCTCGTCCACTGACGGAGTCCGAACGCCGACGAACCTCAGAGAAAGAAAAGACCAAACTCTAGGTACAGCAAAAAAAATAAGATTTCACACTCACCTGTACAGTTTATTCATTTTATGTTAAACTCACCTGTACAGTGTTTAAAAAGAATAAAAAAAACTCACCTGTAAAGGCATTTTTTTAAACTCACCTGTACATTTTTTCCCNGACCGGTTCTGAACTGGTTTCAGGCTGATGTCGGACTGCTGGTGGTGACTTTTGTCTTTTGCTGGTTTAGTTTGGACCATATTCTAGTTCAACAGCCCACAAACGCAGGTAAAGTCACCTTGAAGATTTCTTTAACGTTGCTCAGCATGAAGACCACCATGAGGTCCTCCTTGTCCTTGGAGAAAGCCTTGCTGTGGAGGACGGCCCTGGAGAAGGACTTCTTCACCGCCAGCCTGTTCTCCATCTGCAACCCAACAGAAGCATCTCTAATGCAGAACAGAACAGCTGCACCACGACCTTCACATCCAGTACACGATCCATCCAGCAGCTCCGACCTCTTTGTCCACTTTCATCTGCTGTGGATCCGCTGCCAGAGACATGAACGTAAGCAGCCGTCGCAGCTCGTCCCTGCAGCCGATCGGCAGCAGCTTCAGGCAAAGCTGCAGAGCCTCCAGAGCCCGACCCAACCGGGCATTCACTGGAAAAAGAGAGTCGCAACGAAGTGTATCAGGCTGGAGAAGAGAAACCAGCCACAGAAGGAGCGTACGGGAGGCGTTCTTCTCACCCAGCAGGTCGATGATGGCGCTGTAGACGTCGCTCATGCTGTTGGGCAGCAGCGGAGGCCTGTTGGCGTTGCCGTAGTGCTTCGCCAGAGTGTCGTACAGCAGAAGTTTACACTGAACCAAGCCGGCGAGGGACAGACGGCGCTGCTCGTCACTGGTCTGAGCTGCAGGAAGGACGATACGACAACAACATCCACTAAGATGCCTTCAGACTATTTAGGAGAGCCCAGATGATGATGTCGTGGCTTTGGAAGCTTCTGATTGGTTAACTGACATCATCTGAGTTAATGTCAGGCAGTGAGATAAAAAAGGTTTGACGTCTTTGTACACAGTAAACGTCTGGTTTCAGCTGTACTTCTACTCGCCTCCCTGCTGGACGCCGCTTCCTGCTGCGATCTCGCCGTCTGGGGGGAAACACTGAGGCAGCTCTCGGCTCAGCTCCACCACCGGCTGGTCGGGAAGGAAGTCCAGACAGTCGAGAGCCGCACAGAGCAGCTCGTCGTCCCTGAAGGATCAGAAAAACCAGGACACGCATCAGGAGAACAGACAAAGACTGCTAAATGAGTCAGTCTGTGTCGTCTATGTGAGTTCAACATTAAGCTACAGGCAGCGGCTAGTTAGCTTAGCATAGCAACAGATGGGAACTCAACCCGTTGTTGTAAGTCTGATGCCTTCTTGGTGCACAACAGCTCAACTGATTGATTTATGCAGCGAAGAATATTCTTGATAACTTGACACAGAAACGTCCCGCCTCAGAGGACGTCATTTTGACTCAAAATTTGGCCAAAATTACTCAGAAAATGTCTAAAATGGAATTATAATTGTCCAAAATTACTTAATTTCTCTCCAAAATGACAACTACTTTCCACAGTTACACAAATTTTTCCAAAACTTCTTATATTTATGTACGATTACTCAAAATTTGTTCAAAATTACTAAAAAGAAATGTCCAAAATGACTCAAAATGTGTCCAAAATTACTCAATGTTTGTCCAAAATTACTTAAATTTAAGCAAGATTAATCCAAAATAACTAAAACTGTGTCTGGAATGACTTAAATTGTCCAGGATTACTCAGAATTGTCCAAAATGATTTAAAATTCAGCCAACATGACTCAGGAGTGTGATGTTTTTCAGGGCAATAGTTAATTTTTTAAACAGTTCTCGACAATTCTGATCATTTAAAGAACTGATGAAGCTCAGAATCCAGAGTCCAACCCACTGGGAGTCCCTGAAGGCTCTGAGGATCTGCCTGTCCAGGTGGTTGCTGCTGTAGATCAGGTCCGGGTTGCCGTGAAGCAGCCGGTTGGACGATGGAGACGATGACGCTGGACTCTGGCTGCAGTGCAGGACTCCCTCCAGCAGGGGGAGCTCCACCAGGCTGAGCAGGCGGAGCAGCGTCTGCTCCTGCCACACCTCGTCCACCACTGAAGAAGAAGAAGAAGA